TTTGCATATGTTGCTGTCTCCTGTTCACGTGTAACTTCTACTCTACTTTCAAAGCTAGACTGCAATATTTTCTGTGGAAATATATCACTAAACTCTTCTTTTTAGATTAATACCATCTCTAGAAAATCTTGGTAGGCTCAGATCTATGCATTATTTCTTAAAAATGTCTATTTTCTTTTTTGCAATGGGACATGAAAATCCTGGGTATTAAAAATCTGTCTGAGGGCTGAGGATTTAGCTCAGTGACACTGCGCCTGCCTCCAAAGCGCAAAGTCCTGAGTTTGATTCCCAGCACCACCAAAAAAAAAAAAAAAAAAAAATCTGTCTCAGAATGACCCTTATTACAAACTTCTGGAAATATTTTTATTGACAAAGAGGAATTAAGATTTTATAGTTATGATTATACAACTTGTTTTTGTTTTGTTTTTATCTTCAAAAGGAGTCTCCAAAAATAGTATGAAGATTTCTCTATTATCATTATTATTATTATTAGTGTATATTAGTTACACAGATTAGTAGGTTTCATTTTGGCATATTTGCACATACATGGAATATACTATGATCATTTTCACCATCCCCAGAAAATTAAAATCTTTTGCTAACAAGTTTTCAAAATAGAAAACTTTACCCTAAGTTAAGTGAACCACAGATACTGAGATTTCTGTTTCAATAATGTAAAGTGAAATAAATCATCCTTCTACTGCTGCTTCCAATGAATCTGTTATCTGCATTTCCCCTTGATACTCTGAGTGTCTCTGACCTATTGGTTACAGCAGTTAGCTTAGACAAGAAAAGAGAGATACGAGCAGTAAGGAAAATCTGAGAAGGAGCATATTGAATATCCTCAGAGGTGTAAAGCTTTTAACTACAAATAATCTTCAAGAATTTAAACAAAAAGCCAGAATTGCAAATAGCTATTACCATAGTATGAGTTAAAAAGAAACGAACCCAACCACCCAACAAAGGACAGCAACCATTAAGTTTCCATTCACTGACTATAAGATCATGTGAGGATCAATGTAAATATCTTTAGAATTTACAACAAAAAACCAATCTTCAGGCAACAAATCATCTGGAATTTGGTTGTGTTGTTTAATTTTCTCATTGCTGAGACAAAATACCCCATGCCCAAAGTTAAAGGAGGTTTACTGTAGCTCACAGTTTGGAAAGGTTTCAATTCATAGTTGGCTGGCTCTAAGACAGTAACATGGCAGAGAGGCACTGCAAAGGAGAAACAGTTCTTGGCAGACAGAAGGTAGCAAAGTAGGGAAGTAGAAGAAGCAGCAGCAGCATACTTGCCTCTTCCTTTTTTTTTTTTTTGGCACTGGGCTCAAACTTGGGACCTTGTGCTTTTGAGGCAAGCAGCAGAACCACTGAGCTAAATCACTGGCCCACCCCTTCCTTTTATCCCATTCAGGTTATATGTCTTTTTATTGCTGCTGCCCATACCCAATGTGGGGCATCCTTAATTCCAGCATCACACACTTTGTCCCAGCATCACACACTTTGTCCCAGCATCAAAAGTCCTAGACTCAGCCACTTCTTAAAAGTCCCACCTATGATCACATGAGACTTTGAGGGAGACATCTAGATACAAGCCATAACATCAGTAAGGTTCAGTGTAGTGCCTCATGTTCTAGAGTTCTGCATCATATTCTTGGGTTCTTCTCGCATTTAGACTCTAGTATCCTCGAGATTTGTTTCATGATCTCAAGATAGCTTTCCTAATTTCATTTACCACTGCCTTATACAAAAGAGAAGGAAGCACATATACACACATATATAATAGATAACATATACAATATATGCAGGCAAAACATCATGTGTTACATTAGAAGACACACTAAAGCAGAAACTTTGAAAGCTGAGCTCTGCAAATTCAGTTTTAGCTGGATTTCTAGGTGCCATGGCTTTTTCTAGATGTCCCCTCAATGCCTCATGTAGTCATGACATGGGGAGAGGGAGTTCAGAGGTGGCTGGATCTACAGTGTGTGGTGCTGGGATCAAGGGCTGTATGATTACTAAATCAGTCCACTGATTGGTTTGACATAATTCTGGCTAGGATTAAGGGTGTGAGTGCCCTAGGGCAGGTAGCCTGCATAAAAATATAAAGGACAGAAAGAGGGCTGATGTGCTATCATCTGCCTGCTTGCCATGGACCGTTTCTCCTCTGCCATACCCCTCTGCCATGCCACCCTGCCTTAGAGCCAGTTGACTGTGGATTGAAACCTCTATAAACTATGAGCCAAATAAACCTTTCTTCCTTTAACTTTGGGAGCCTGATATTTTGGCTCAGCAATGAGAAAAGCAACTAAGACACTAAGTGCTTGTTGAGCATACTGGAATTTGAGAGCTACTACTTGACTATATAAAAGCAGATCCTGAGTTTGTGGTAGGCAAGCAAGGGTTTATACCACACCTAGATATTTTCTAAGTACAGATAGTACTTTTTCCAGAACATAATAAAATTAAAGTGTAAACAAGTAAGATAATAACAAATAAAAGCTGTAAAAAAATCTCAAAGACAAGGCAAAGATGAGAATGTACTGTGCACGAAATAAGATTTCAACAAATTTGAGAAAATGGAAGAAGAGGCAGATGTGAACTGATTTTGCAACACACAGGAAGTGTGTAAAGTGGAATATCACATTAAGGAATCCAACATATGTTCCAGAAACTTCAAGGAGAATAGGAATTTTGTCATGTCAAATATAGGTGTTAAAATGTAGAATAATTGAAGATCCACACGCAGAAGCCAATGCACTCACCTTCAGTCACTACCTCCATGGGGAGGATGTGGAACTGATATAGGGATAATATAAGGGAAAAAAATGTAACTCCCAACATGAGAGATGTCAGATATGCCAAGTTTGTGTTCCTTGAAGTTGAACAATGAATTCTAAGGAACAACAAGTTAAGAGTAGGAAAATGTATTGGGGAACAGGAATGGGGAATAGGAATAGGGAATAAGAATAGCTCCTGAGAGACAGGAGGGGTCCCGAATGGGTTACAAAGGAACCATTTCTCAAAGGTAGTTTTATAGAGCAAACTCAAGAGAGTTGGGTACAACATGGGTAAAAACAACAATCAGCCAATAAGATGACAAGTATGGTTGCTTAAGTAATATTGATCCAATAGTAACAAGAGTATATGGATGATATCATCAACCTTGGTGGATAATCTATGGTCTTAGTCTTCTTAGTTTTAGTGGTCTTGGTCTTAGTAGGTGGGAGAAGATGGCCCACCCTAAATGAGACAGTGGTCCATCTACAGGGGAAATCCCTAAAGGGTGATACAAATAATCTCAAGCTTCTGTTCATCCCTTAGGGAAGTATGCAAATCTGGCCATTGTAACTTTAACCCCCTTTAGATCCACCTCCACCCATAGGTTCATGTGTTCTCATCCTCTGCACTGACTCCCTTGAGGGCCCAGCCCTGTCTGACAGCCTATAATATTCCTACCTGTAACCTAGCTCTCTGTCTCAGAACCACCCTAAGAAAGGGATGGGAGATTTCTTCTATGTAAAAATTACCAGAAAAGTTTTTGGATTAAAAAAAAACAAAAACAACATTCAGGAAGGGGAGGTTGTAAAACAACTTTGACAATTGAAAAAGAAGGCTACTGGATTTCTAGTCTTCTGCTTCTTCTGACACAGACGACACAGAGGAAGTCAAAACCTGAAGCAAAAGTTCATGGTTAGGCAAGCACATACTAAACCCATGATTCATTTCCATTTCCTTAAACTTTATAAAAACCACACGAGTGGATACTATTACCACTTTCATTTAAAGTAAGAAAAGAAAAGAAAAGACCTACAGAGATCGTTGTGTTACTTTCAGAGGTCACAGAGATGGTGTATTAAAGAGAAAGGATTCAAAACTAGCAGGCTTGATTTTGGTCTGTTTATTCTTTATTTACTCCATTTCTCTTTCCACCTCAGTCCTTTCCCACTCCCTTTAATCTGTATCCCCATCCTTCAACTGTCTCAGTACACTTTTACATGTCTGTTTACCTTGGTGAACAGGGCAATGGGGAGAAAACCAGGAAGTGGAAAGAGTAGATTTCACTTCTTTTCAGCGTACATGGATGTATTGCCTGGCAGATCATCTGTTACTTTTGTTAAAAAAAAAAAAAAAAAAAAAAAACTACCTCGAAACTTAGTCATTTATTATCTACGTCACATGAGTCTGAGGGATGGAGGTCAAAGTCAGAGTTAGAATTCCTTAAAGGGACACTCCCTAGTTTATGACTTCCCAGGTCCAGGTGGAGACACGGGCATCTCAATCCATCTCACCACAGGACAAACGTTTTCAGGCCTCTCAAGGAGCAGGAAAGTAGGCAGGGCAGCAGCTCCTCGCCAGCTTGGCCACAATCAACGGCGACGGCGACGGAGGCCCCAGGCCCCAGCGCGGGGGCAGGGAAGGAAGTTGTGTTGTACACGCGGGATCCAGGAAACAAAAACCTAAGCCTTTGGTGTTGGCTCCAGTCCCTCCGAGGCGCCTTCCCGCTAGCTTGAGGGCGGGATTCTGGAATCTCTGCGCCTCCCCCAGGGGATCCAGGAGCAGAGCCACCGCCGGGCGATTGGATTCCCCGACCTCAAGTCCCGGGGGGCAGCGCAGGAACAGCGGCAGCAGCAGGTGAGCGAGCTGCGTTCTCTCCTCTCCCAGAAAAAACTTAAGCCTTCCTGGCTCCCCAGAAGGAAGCTGGGTGTGCGGGCAGCTTCCGAGCGGGAGCCTGGGGGTCATGTTTGCTTTGGGGGTGTGATGTGTGGTGGAGATTGGGACTGAAGTCCTAGAGACCTGGGGAAATCCGGGTGTGAAGCGTGGACTCAGCGAGGCCTTACCTGACTCTTGAGCGGGACACCTGGCCCACCTGGAAACCATTCTAGGGATAAGGTGTGTGCTGCCTGGAGAGATCTGGCAGAACTCTGCTTCTACTTAGCTGCACTGCTTCTCAGCTCAAAGAACAGCCCCAAATGATGGACGGAAGCTGAGCTCTCCACTTTCTGCCAGCATAGTAAGGTATTAGGAGGAACAAGTAATAAAGACTGCTAGACGTCTTTGAATGTTAAATATTAATTGGAATTGTGACTGGAATGCAAACTACGCTTGATATTCTAGAATACCAGGGTTACAGGACAGGCAGAGGGGGGCGATGGCGTAGTGATTGATTAGCTCCGGAGTCAGGCTGCCTGAATTTGAGCTCTGCCTCCACTACTTCCCTTCCCTGGACTCTGACCTAGTGTCTTTCTGTTTCTTCAGCTTGCCTTGTCTCAGAAATTGTGTAATTATTGTAGTCAGCTAACCAAGTTAGAAAATATTATAAGGCAATTAGGCAAGGCCAGGCCCGGAGCACAGAAGACAATTGTGGTCTGAAGATCTTTCACTGAAGGCTAGGCTTCAAGAAAAAAGAGAAACAACCACACCCACATACTTCCCCTGGGATGAACTGATATTTTAAATAGCTATCCATCACCTTAATTGAGGGCCAATACTCTACCAGCCCCGTTTCCTTTCTGGAAAATCCTTACTCATTTTATGTATGCATGTTATTTGACTACCCTCCCCATTTGATCCCCATTTAATCAATATTACCTGGGCAACTGTACTTGTAATCTTATTGGTTGATCATAGTTTTGTCTCTTCTGGAACCTGCCTAATCTTGTGGCTTTGCTCAATAAAAACACTTTTAAGAAGCAGGCTGGGTGGGCAACCCACTTTCCAGTCCCTCTTCTGTCTCTCTTGGACAGAGGTCATCTTTTTCTCAATAACTTTTTCCTGTTCTTAAACCTCTGTTGTTCCTAGATTTCATTCTTTGATTTTAGAGAACATGAACTTGGCATTTCATGTATCTAGCAGGTTAGGCGTTATAATATTTCCCTTACATTATTTGGATTATTTGGAAGTCTTATACACCCTATATTATAATTATTACAAGAGATACAGAAGTTAAGGCTTGTATATATTAATATAAGTTGCTATAGTAGTAACATGACAAGAAAAAAATTACTTATTTAAAGTTAAATTTTATTTTTTCAAATATCTGAGGGCTTCCTTGCTGCTTCTAGCCCACTATTTGGTTATTGTGTGGTTTTATCTGTACTGTTGTTCCTGATACTGTGGACAAGGAATCTCCCAGTTTCAGGACAAGCAGTCGGGTTTTGCTTCTGGTTTAGCAGGTGGAGATCCTTGCTGAGCACAGGTGACACTTACACTGTGAGAAGGGTTAGGCCTCTTGGGGTGCTATTTGTCTTTCCTGAACTTCCCTAACAGCACAGCATTCTCTTCATGCCACCCCTGGTATTCAAATAGTTGTAGGATTTGAACAAAGAAAGATCACAAGGAAGTTTAAAAATTACTGAACAACAAATTGAGTGGATTTCATAGAAAAGGGGCATGTAAAATGGATGGGTTGTAAAAGACACTGTAAAGGAGCTTAACTTAGATGTGGAGAGACATTAAGATGTGTGAACTGGCTGCATACATCTTTCCATCTTTATCTCTAAGGATCTCCTACCTGTGCTCTGTCATCTCCAGATCTTTCATTTTCCTGACTGAATCAAGGTATTTCTAGCCTCAGGACTTCTACCTGTGAGTTTCCCCTTCACATTGCTCTTCACAGGCCCCACATTATGTACACCAAGAACTTTGGTCTTGCTGACTTTACACATTTTTCAATTCAGATATCAATATCATGACAATACCACTGCCCGTACAGTCTAAATCAGTGTTCACAAAGCCCTTTCTTATTATATAATTATTTTTATTCATACCGCTTAAGCATATTTTCAATAACATATTTCATTGTGTTGTTGGTCTCCTGGAGTATCTTGTACAGTATAATGCTGCAGTGTGTGATGTAAAGCCTTGTGTGCACCCTATCTTCACTTCTTAAAAGCCACATGTGTTATACTAAGTAAATATTTACACATGAAATATTTACATAAATGTGCACACACACTTACACTCTAGTTCTATGCTGAATAGTTCTCAAATTAAAAGGCAGCACTTTAGCTAAGTACAGACATTTCTCATTTAACTGCTGAGTTCTATTTGCTGATGCGGTCATTAAGTGAATTGGTCACTAAATGAAGAATTGTACATAGTATGTACATTAAAATATTCAGAACAAAGACATGGTCCAAGGACAGTCCAACTTGATGACTTTTATTTGTGTAGTTCCTTACATGAAGTACTGTAATGTATAAACATTAATGTATAAACATGAAACTCCACTACTGTACTATACAAACAAGATTACCGTACAAAAAAAAGATTGAGGCTTTATAAAGAAGACGTACGGAATTGTACCAAAAAATGAGCGGTGGTAAGTCTGAGCAGTGGGTCCTAAGTCCAAACAGTCATTAAACAGGTGGGTCGTTAAATGAGAGATATCTGTAGTAACAGTTGTTCTTTTAATTTTCCAAGTTTTATCTTAATAAACGCTTAGAAAAGTCCTACCTGTCTTAGTAAAAACTTACGTGGTCAGAGAATAAATTGAAATTAAACGCTTTTCTGTTTTACATAAGGCAGATACCATAAAGATTGCCTCTAGTAAATTTTTCTGAAAGTTTTTAGTATCTTTTCCAGTGAAATAGGGACATGAATATAAAAGATAGAAATTGTGAATCATCTTAATTCAGCTAGTTAGTGACCTTTTGTAGTATTAAATAGCCATTTTATGTCTATCAGTACTTTCCTCATTTATTAGCAGAAAATGAAACAGCTCAAAGTGGTGAAGGAGCATTGGGTTGTCCATAAAGGCTTTTCTGGTATGGGACATCAATCAAATAACAACTAAATTCAAAGATCAGTTTTCCTACTTTAGGCTTTTTGGTTTATTATTAGTTTTGTGGAACACTTAAGCACTACTATTTCAGTTTATTCTAGTTGATGTATGATCTTTACTTTTATTCAAGGTTCACTATCCCATCCCAAGTTGGATCTAAGCACATTTGTTTTGTTTTCTTGAGCCTAAAATACAGAAAGAAGTCTGTGATAAAAGAAGACTTCCTGTTAAAAGATACATTGCCCTTCTATTCAGCCTCAGAGCACTTGGGACTCATATTACAGGTGTGCACGCTGGTCGGCTCAAATGCTCACCCACTCTTTGCTGCATCCATTTGTATAAATGCAAATATTTTTGCTGGGCTTGATTGTTACAGAAACCACAATCAAAGATGAAATATTCTTTTTTTAGATAATAAATAAATCTTTTTAAGTGTACACAATTTACCTAAAAAGATAATTGGAAATACATGAAAATTATTTGGTTTGTGACTTAACACATGTCTTCACCTCCTGACTTATTCAAAATTCTCTTTCTCTTCCATAGTGTCTCATTTTACTTACTGGTAGGAAGTTAGAGACCTGGCATTCTGGAGATTGTTTCTAAAGCAGTGTGTTGCTAAAATAGTTCAGAACATATATTTCCATTTTGGGGCTTGTGAAGAATGTGAACTGGTCTTTTGTTTTGGATTAGTAAGTAAGGGGGAGAGATTTGTTCTTAGGAAATTACTAAATAAATTCTCATAAATAACACAGATATAGGTAATGCTTCTTTTACATATAGCATAGTAAGTTTCAAAAAATACCTTTTGAAAGCAATAAGTGAAATTTCATTATGTTGAGAGATGGATCAAAAAGTTTTTACTATAGTTTGAATATTAAAGATGTAGCATGAAATTGTCACACTATTTTTCACCTAATAAGAGTATTTTGGAATTATTAAATAGCCCATGTTGGCAATTTAGGGTTTTTTCAGAGTAACTGTAACAGAGATGTACTTTTATAATATACAATGCTTCAATTTTCTCCAAAGTTCTTATGTAACACAGGAAGAAAGATGTATGAATGAGATCATATTTTCCAGTTTCATGAGTCCCATGGTACAATATATAGTATGAGTATATTATAGACATTTTCTTTTTCTTTGGGTCATGATATCTGTGATTTCCTGTTTTCCAAGTGAAGTCTTTCTGGAACTTTTAAAAAAGTTATCACGTTAAATTTATTAACTAATAGGGCCCGGGGATTTAGCTCAGTGGTTCTGATGCCTGACACACAACCGCAAGGCCCTGAGTTTGATCCCCAGTACCAAAAAAAAAAAAAAATTATTAACTAATTGGTACAACAAGGGATGTATTCAGTTATTTCCAAAACTGAGTCTTATATTCCTTTGGATAGATCAACTAAGATTGTGAAAACCTTCCTTTTACTAGATTATGTATGAAACTTTATGTGCAAAATTGATAATGATAAATAATAATTTTGAAATTGAGAAGAAGGAACTGCTTTCTTCTTGGAAACTATATTTTGGTTATATGTGTCCTTGCACTTAGGATTAAGTAGAAGGAGTTAGTAAAAGGGCTCTCAACATTAGGGTGGGGCTGATTGAGTTGTCTGTGGACCCAAGATAAAACTGTTGGGCAGCATCAATTGTAATTAATATACACAAAATTTGAGTTCAATCCCCGGTACCAAAAAATATATATATATACACAAAATGGATTGAGATTTATAGTAGGAAAAGTGTAGTGACTGAAACTTAGATAGGATCAAAGTACCAGAAGGCAAAGGTACTGAATAGGATGTTTTGTTGCTATTCATGTTTCTGTAGAAATAGTGAAATGCAAAAGTGCACTTAGATTGTCAAAGTTGCCACAGCCATGACAACCTTGAGAGTGGATTCCAGAAAAAACAAATTTAATTTTCTTCCCTAAAACGTTGAATATGTTTGTTATTTGCTGCAATATTTTATTCACTCAGTGAAATTAAGTAGTTTATTTTGTGTTGTTTATGCTCCAGAATCCAATGCCAAATTCAGTGATTCAAATATATAGAGAATATGTACACAAATATCCATTGCACTAATTTTTTAAATTAATAATAAAAAACGTGTAGGGAAAGCTAAGCATTAGGCTTACTGGCAAATATATCATATAGTGTTTACTATATTTCAGCCAGAGCATTTTTCTGATTTCATTGTGCATAATATATAATAAGGGCTATTCAAGTCACATTAATTAACACACAATAAATTAAATATGCCAATTCATTGAAATAAATTCTTCAGCTATATTACCTAACACATATTCTATACCACACACGTGTGTGCATAGGCAATCAAAATATTCTCACTTTTTCTTTGAAAGTTATAAATAACGTGGGTATTTATCAAACATGTAATAAAAGATTTTGCCTTATTAAACATTTAAGGCTCCAAAGAGAAGAATAATAAATGTCAAGGAAAATACCAAAAACCAAATACTGTATTTCTGAATAAATCTTTTATCTTTGTGGCAATACTCCTAAAACAATTCATCTCTCATTAAAGTGTCAGCCTTGGCCACTATCTTGGATAATTTCCAGGACTAGACCCCTGCTTTTCTTTTTTTTTTTGAAATTTAATTTTTGTTAGTGTATATTTTGCTGTACAAAATGACTACATTCATTGTGGGGAGATGGTACATACAGGCACATAACATAACCGAATTCTTTGTACTTCTCCTGTCCCACCTCTCACTCTCACCTCCACCCATCTTTTGGTCCCCGCCACATTTGCAAGACATCTATTTCCCTGTTTTTTTATTTTTCATCTTTTATTTTGGTCTTTAAATTATTTATGCTTTGGATTTCTCATATAAGAAAAATCATGCAATATTTAAGCTTGTGTATCCCACTTACTTTCTACACATTGTTTTGTGACCTTAATGAACACTGCATTGACTTGATTTTATTTTAAAGCTCAAAGCTTTTCAATGGTAAATTTATGTAGAAGTAAGCTGTTTTATGTGCTAGAATCTTTCAGACACTTCAACTCAATTTAGTAGGATTTATGTGGTCATGTTCATATTCACCTTTTAACTTTTCAGTTTCATAGATATATAATTATATGTGTATATATGTGTGCATATACATTAATAAAATGTGTGTATATATGTAAATAAATATACATAAGATATACTTAGTTTTATTCATGTATATAAAAAAGTAAAAATTGTGTATATTTAACATTAGTGATAGTGCTGTGCTTTTTCTAAGCTATTGTAATTTGCATTTTAAAAATAGAGATTGAATAATAAATTAGTATGTTCTTTGTTCATTTATTTCTTCTTTGCATGAATTCCCCCTATAATTCCTGAAAGTAGGATCATTGCTCTGATACCCAAACCTAGATTATGAGATGCCAATTTCTTGGATCTGTCCCTAAATATATATGTGTTTTAAATTAGTGAAATGTTGGTACCTGTTAAGATGTGCCAGAAAGTGATGTTGACACAACATGGTGGATCCAACTGATAGATTCTAGCCCCTTGTGTATGATGAGCAAAGAATTGCAAGTGCACATCCAGTGGTAAAAGAAAAACCAGCTACATTTATTGAAGATAATGGGAAGATGTGCTCAGGGAAGGTCCATGTCAACAGAAACAAGAATGTGGCACAAACAGAAAAGTGGTATCAGGATGACAGGAAAATAAAAAGCACACAGATAAATCAGGCTTTCAGATTTTAAACTATGTGTACCCCTTCCTGGGTAACTCTCAATGAGACTCTGGATAAGATTGAGAAGAATGTTTGACAGGGTATTGAGTCATCTCAGTGTCTTTAACACACTGTGCCTGTTCCAGAATCCACTCTGATTAAGTTATATCCATGAGATGCAGTCCTGAACAAGGTTTAAGTGGGGAAAAGGTTACTGAACACCACAAGATCTAACACACATGTGCTCTGGCCTAAAACTTTAGAGATTTCCTAAGTTTGTTATTTTAGTTTTGCTTTTCTTAGAGCAATAGAATGAAAATTGACCTAAATTCAGTTGGATGGAGAAGGAGTAGTCTCCCAGCCCCAATTGTGCTGCCAGTGCTCACATGTCAGTTAAGGGTAGAGCTTTAAGTCACACTTGAAATATGTTTCCTTGAATCTCTTCTGAGTCTAATCCTATTTTTTGCAGCTCTGCTTGGGAATTTGACCTCAGGAGAGACGTTAACATCTAGACATCTAGAGCAAGCTAGGCTGCTCATCTGAAGCTGAGAAATAGATCAGAATGATTTGGATGGAGTAACCTTTGGAATTTCAGAGATTTGTAATAATTTGGGCTATTTTGTAGTGTCTGTCCAAGGAAAAGATCTCATATTTTAGAAAGAGGAATTCTTTGTTGCCTGAATTTCTACAGTTTGTGTGGACTACATTCTGATGATGTTACTATAAAACTGATTGGTGGAAGAGAGGGGGGCTGCAAACCAGCTTTTCTAATAAACCCACCTGATTAAATGGATTGAATGGTCTTTGAAAGTTTGTACCAGAGACACATACCAAAAATGTCAGATTGAAAGATGAATACTGAAGTACATGTATTATTTTAAATGTTAAAAGCACAAATTCCTGAGTTTGATCCCCAGTACAATAATAATAATAATAATAATAATAATAATAATAATGCTTACACCAATCATTGTCGATGTCTTTAAAATCATCGATAATCCTTCTGTGGCCATCACCACATCTAAACTTAATTTATTGCTTTCTTCAAGGTCTATATGTATATTGTCTGTTTGTTTGTTTGTTTGTTTTTTGAGACAGGGTCTTGCTATATAGTTCAGGCTGGCCTTGAACTCACTATATAGCCCATCAAACTCATGACGATCCTCCTCTCTCAGCCTGCTGAGTGCTGGGATTGCAGGTATGCACCAGCAAACCCAGCTATATGTGTTTTTAATGGTATCTTATTTGAATATCATAAAATCGAAGCTGTAATTGACCACACATAAGTGTATTTGAAAAATTAGAAATTCAGCCTCAGTAACTTCTGAGGCTGCAATATGTTATCTAAAAGGGAAACATGATTATTTGAAACAGGATTCTAATGAAAATTGGCTCTGATAATAGGCAAAACTTACATTGAATGAATTTACTTTCCTGTTTCAGTACAGCATAAGACCAAGTGAAAATAATTTACATTTTTCATTCTAATGTATATTTTATTTAAGCAGACATAAATTTACCTTTCCTTTATTGACAGACTGCCAAATGGATCCTCCTCACCGAGGAGCAAATTTTCCACCTGCATATAACCCACAGTTTCCACCAGCAGCATTCCAAGGTAAAATATGATTAAAAAGTAGAAATAATATTGATCAGTTGATATTCTCAAGGGAGAGAAGGAAATGAAGAGGAAGGGAATATGTACCTTCATGTTGGTAGTTTCTTTTCTTAATGTTTCATTAAAGAAATTTTGGCAGTCTAGCTATTCCTAGTTTTCTTTTGGAGTATGTATTTTCCATAGAGGTAATTTTTTATTCAAGGAAGACAGGAAAAAGTGTAAAGGAGAACTAGTAAAATCAATAGTGAATTTATATTAGCAAATGAAATACAAGGCTACAAATAAATTAAAGCCTAAAATACAGAAAATAAATAAAATACCGTTAGCGATCATTTCTCTTTTCTGAAAATCCTGATCATGTAATGACATTTAGGAGATTTATCCCTGTGTGTTTTTGAATCATGCAGTATTTGGGATTTGTTTTGTTTAATTAGTGTAAAAGTACGATGATCAGACTACTTAAAACTAGAAGCTACAATGCAATCAGAAGAAATGTTAGCCATGCTGGGTGCGGTGGCACATGCTTCTGATCCCAGCCCTCGGGAGGCTGAGGCAGTAGTATAGCCATGAGTTCCAGGCCAATCTGAACTACAGAGCCAGACACTGTTTCAAAAAAAAGGAGAGAGAGAGGAGCAGGGGGAGGGGAAGAGGAAGGGGAGGGGTAAGGAGAGAGAGAAAAATGTTAGCTACCTTGGAATAATTCACATTTTTGTTTTGTAACAAATATGAAAACTTTATTTCTACTTGTTGATTCATGTTTTGCATTTTTAAGAAAAATAATTGAGTTACATCACTACATAGTAGGGAGTACATATTTTCTTTTGAACAAATGCATAAAAGAATTCAGAGATTATCATTTAGATGGATGCAGTTACCACTACTAATTTAGAAATGGCAAAGTTCATAGTGTATGCAGATTTACAAGTATACAGAATACCCACATCTTGAACGACATCCAGCAGTCTTAGAATCAAAGGTGATCTAGTTTGCATAGATGTACCCATTTTATTCTCTTCTTTGAGCAAACAAATTTTCTTGGTAGATGAATGACCTGTTTCATCATCCTTAAAAATCTCCAAGTGGGTCCTAGATCTTATCCAGATGTTTGCAAATAAAAAGGTATGAGCTAGATAAGCACTAGGGCTCTAAGGTAGTAGTTCTCAACCATGGTTTCTCTTAAGTATCATTCAGAGACACTTGAAAATACTAATACCAGAGCACCATCCCAGGAAAATTAAACCAGACCTCTGAACTCAAGGACTGATAATTTTTAATATCTCAAGTGATTGTAATGTGAAGCCAAGATTAAGAACTTCAGCCATAAATTTTTACAGGCTTTATGTTTGGAGAATTATTAACAAGACTTAAGATATTTATCCAAGGCATTCACAGAATGATTTAATCCACCACATACCTAGCTAAAATTAGGTATAAATAAACAAATTCAGATATAACCGAACTTGAGAGTTTGTTAGAACAATAGCTTTGTTTTAATTCTCAAGACCAAGGCTATATATATTACAAATCTTGAGATGACAATGATAAAAATAATTACAGCTGAAAAATGAGAGCTTACTGTGCCATAGGCATTATTCTAAATGTGAAGTTCATGTAGGTTAGCTTAATTAATCTCAGACCCTTCTTAGGAAGTAAATATTGTCAGTCCTCCATATATCTGTACTTGTAATCAACCAACTGTATAAGGAAAATATTCAAATATTAAATTGCATCTATAATGAATGCATATGGATAATTTCCTTGCCATTATTCAGCTATTTACATAGCATTTACATTGTATCAGTTATTATACGTCATCTAGAAATGATTAAAAGTATACAGGGAAGATATGTATACAGGTTGTGAACCAACCCTCCATAGGTGTGGAGAACCATTATACTATTAATTACCCTCTTGTTCATCTGGGAAAACTGAGGCATAGAGAATTTGGATGTGGTTTCCAGTTCTCCCTTCTGTTCTTTTTTGGGGGGGGGGGGGTATCAGGAATCAAACTCAGGATCTTGTGCTTGTGAAGCCTCCATTCTGTTCTTAATAGTTGTGTGGTGCTTCTTAAGGCTGGCTCTCTACCATTAATCTCCACTGGCTATTTTTAAGATATGTAAACACTGCAGTTTGTTATTAACCCAGAACTTTTCCTTAAATGTTCTTTTCCCTTACCCTGTTTAATTCTTATGAATCTTAGATGAAAGGTAATACCTCCGGGAAGCTCTTCCTACTTCCTTTTCCCTTCATATGTTAGTCAGCATTCAGTCCCTGTGATGAAAAACCTAAGAAGGTCAACTTACAGTAGGAAATATTTATTTTGGCTCACAATTTTAGACTTTGGTTACTGGCTCCATTACTTCAGGCCTGAAGGAGGCTAAAACATCACAGCAGCAGAACCATGGCAGAGAGTCATGCACATCACAGTAGCCAGGAAGTAAAGAAAGTCAAGGGCACAGGACAAAGCATGTCCTGTCAAGTTACATCTCCAATGACCTACTTCCTACAACTAGGCCCCAACTTATAACCACCCATTCAGCTGTGAATGAATGAATGGCTTAATTCATTGATGTGGTTAGTACCTTCATGATCTGATCACCTCCCCATGAGCATCGGAGCCTCCTGGGGGACATTTTCTATCCAACTGTGATACTTTCCCTCTCCCCATGTCAGTAGCTACCTTTGGCAACATCCCTTCATAAAACTTTGGTCCCTTACTTCAAAGCATTTGTCTCTCAATGTACTTAATAAATCTCACTGATTGATATGTACCTCCCTAGAATAAAGATGAACATAAAGTTCTCTCTCCTGCTAGGTAATGAGCACTGGGATTGCCTCTGTGTTTCTCATTGTAAATCCCAATGCTCAGAACTTCTAAAAACTTTGTGAGATATAAGTGACATCACAGACCTCACTCTTCTGCTCAGGATACTCCAACACTTTCCCCTCTCCATAAAATGCAAACTCCTTACTAGGGACCTACAGAGATGAACTGTTTCTCCTTGCTTTGCTAACAGCCATTCCTGTTCTTCCTCGCTTGTGATGGTCCCGTTTCTTAACATGCCAGTTAATTCCTAAAGTCAGGGTTTTCACATTTTCTCTTCCTTCTTTCTGCAGCACTTCTCACTAGATTTAACATGAAGTTTTTCCTTGTCATCTTTTAGAATTCAGTTTCAGTTATATCTATCCAAAATGACTGCTGTGTATCCTGTCATCTCCCCCATGCATTTTCTTCATTGCATTAATATAAAATCTTTTGTTTTTTTATTTCCCAGTTGATCCTAAGCCACTGAGAGCAGGTTCCTCAGTGAAAGCTGTACCCCCTGATTCTACAGAAGAGCCACAGACATATTTATGACCTATAAATATGTATTCATTGTGCAAGGAATAAAGTGTAAAAACTATATTTAAAAGCCTTTTTATGAAGTTTAGTCTGCTGTTAGCCTTATTTTTCAGTGGTTATGAATTTTGTCAGAAATGTTACCTTTCAAAGTATTTCTAAATAGCCTATTATAAATGTAAGTATTTCATGGTTTTTAATGTTGAAATATTTTTGAATGTAGTCCTTTAAATATATTTCAGTCATATGGAGTTACTATTCGGTAAACTTATAAAGTGTTATTTTAATCACACACTCACAGAGAATATACACTACCCATTTATTAAATTTATCCTTTACTCTGCTTATTAACTAGTTAACTTCTTTCAACTTTTGCTTTCCTTGTTCCTCAAACTGTGTTTTACAGAGAGTATAGGGTGCTCCATTGTGAAGTTTAAATTGTTTGTTTGTTTGTTTCTTTGTTTCTTTGTTTTTTGTTTTTCTGAGACAGGGCTTCACTATGTAGTTCAGGCTCGCCTTGAACTCACTATGTAGCCCAGGCTGGGCTCGAACTTACTGTAATCCTCCTACCTCAGCTTCCTGAGTGCTGGTATTACAGGTGTGCACCACAACACCCAGCTGTGAAGTTTAAATTTCTAACCTAAATATCAGTTTGTTTTTTAATGGATTAGCGGTGTAGAAGAGTAACACAGCATGGATTAAAACTCTAGGCAAGCCTGGTGCAGTGGTTTACACATGTAATACCAACTACTCAGGAAACTGAGGCAGAAAGATCAGAGTTCAAAGTCAGCCTGGGAAACAATAAGACCCTATCTCAAAATAAAAAATGAAAAGTACTGAGGGTAAAGCTCAGTGATAGAGTATTCCTAGGTTCAATTCTCAATACTATGAAAAGAAGAGAACAGAAAAGAAAAAAGGTCCAGGCAAATTATTAATCCAGATAAGTACTTGAAATGTTCAAGAAGAAATGACATGTCTTTACTTCTATGTCAGGTTTTCTCAACAGTAACACTGTAATATTTGAGGCTTGAAAATTCCTTCTTTTCAGGTTACTATTTTGGGCATTCTAGGATGTTTAGCAGTATCCCTGGCTTCCACCTACTAAATTCCAGTACCATCCATTTTCACAGTTCTGATGAATAAAAACCATCTCCAGATCTCTCTAAATATCCCTTGGGGAGAGAAGGAAAAAACCACTTCCAAGTCTACATACATAGGGAGTGTCATTTGTTACAATCCCCAAATCATCATGAGTGGGATGTTTTGGTCTTTGAAATACTGGCTCAAAGCCTTTATTTTGGATCTTCTACACAATGCCATGTCTCTTCTTTTTTTTTTAATGAAGTCATGGCCAAGTGTTTATATTACTGATGCCAGGTGAACTTTCTTAGTTATGAAACCATATATTTTCCCTCTGAGTTGTGAAAAAAAAGAGGGCTGTGTGCTATCTCTATTCACAGCTATCACCCTCAAAATAGAAGTGTTTGTGAACGGATGCTGCATTAAAATCTGAAAAATAAAAGGTACATTAAATGTCACAGGTACAGGTTTTCTAAATAAAGAGGTCAGTTTGAGGTTGGCTGTGGTAATTCTAGATGGGTTGATGATTCATACCTTGTGCAGTTATGTTATTTCACTTGTTCCTATTTCAGGACCTCCAGGACAAACTGGCTACTCTGGGCCCCAGGGTACCTATTTAGGTCCCAAGGCTGGCTATCCTGGGCCCTACAGTGCTTATCAAGGTCCCCCAGTTGGCTCCCCAATCCCACCAGGCAGCTTTGCAGGTGCTGGCCAACCTGGGTTTCCTGTTCAGAGTCAGCCAGGATATAGTCAGCCGGGGGGACCTGCAGGGGCACCATGGATGCCAGCACCACCACCTCCATTGAACTGCCCACCTGGACTGGAATACTTAAGTCAGGTAATTTCAAATACATACAAATTTATAAAAGGTACAGCTGGGCTCCCAGTTTACTTAAACAAAGAAATAATTTAAGAAAGTCTGAAATGATAAGACAGTGTTTTCTGCTAATAGATTACTCTAATTCTTCTAGATCAGTTTCACTTTTTAAGCAAAATGCAAATGTACGTGATAATTATGTTTTCTGTGATCATGACTAAAACTTGAGTTAATAACCAAATATTCATAGCACTATTCATAGGAAATATTCATTAAGCACTATTTTCCAGTCTTTGTTGTGAGCATAATATATGTATTATCTCACTTAATCTTTACCAAAAAATCAATGATATACTCTTTGTACAATTATCATTTTTCAAAAGAGGAAACTGAGGTCAGGAGAAGTTACCTACCTTGGTCAGAATTAGAATCCTAAGACAATAAGAGTTCCTTTTTAATCTGGACCTTTGTACTGAATTCAGTACCCTTTTATCCCAACACTGAACAGTTTCTTGGGAACTGGAAAAGAACTTTGAATAAAGTTTATTCCTTAGTTTCAATAATAGGAACCAAATAAAGTGTTAATATATTGTGTATAATGACTCACCTTTTTATACCAATAAAACTATTTATGATGTTGTTTTTGTCCCTTAGAAGATCCAGTTTTATAAGTATAGTTATAAGAGAAAGGAAAAAGAGAGCAGTAATTTGCTCTACTATGGGATAATGAATTTTGGCATATAAGGTTTAACATTTACTTGGTGTGAAAAAATCAGATAGGTAAAATAGGAGTATGAAGTTCTGTAAACAAAAGTCCTTACCGTATCCAACCAGCATATTAGGTGTGTCTGTGGCAGTCTACTAACTTATTTTTCCGCAATGCACTCAAGCAGGACATATCATACAAATTTTAGTCATAAATAAGTAATTCTAGAAATACTCTGAAATACACATTTTCAAGATCTAGATCTCGTAAAATATTTAGAGGAAATTATCACCTACTACAACTGCTGATGCCAAGTACACTTAAAATTTAAAACTTGTATAAGATAGAAATCTTAAATTTGAATAAAAAAAGTTGTTGTGAGCAATTCTAGTCTCTTCTAGAAAGAACTTTGTTTTAGCAATTCTAGTGTAAGGTTTTTTTTATATAAGTGGAAAATGTCAACAAATATTTTACCTATTAAAAACATTAAACTTAGTTGTACGCTACAATATATATTAAATATTAATAACATTAAATATTGATGATTAATTATAAGTGCTTAATTTTCTTTTTCTTTTAATAGATAGATCAGATTCTGGTTCACCAGCAAATTGAACTTCTGGAAGGTATGTATTCACTGTATTGACTGTATATCTAGAGTGAGAAGAGGTTTATGCAAACAAAGGCATCAGTCACCACAAATATAGCATTGTAACTTATTTGGAACAGTTAACCGGGTTACTTAAAAATGTCTGTCTTCACAAGAATAAAAATGTAAACCTTATCAGCAATTTATTTTTGAAAATTAGGAGTCAAATGCTGAAATACTTATTTTACTGAGCATCTATATTCATGATACCAACATTAGATTAGAAGGAAGACAATAAAAACTTCTCATTTCCTCTCACTCTACAAATCAAGTTATATTATAACTGATTCTTACCACTTTAGATGTGGACTTGTCATTTGTCATCACCTTGGAAATAGCACAGAACTGCATGAAAAATTTTAGCCATCTTAGTAAATTTCTATTGAAATGGATCTTTCTTAATTTGAATGAATGCACTGGAAAATTATTGTTTTTGCCTAGTTTCCCCTGGGACCTCAGATGAACCCTGTATCAGATGCACAGGCCCTGTAGTGTTGCAGGATGCTGACCAGCAGGCTGGAGGCTTCCTTCCTACAAGAGCACTCCTGCGCCTCTGCGTGGCCCTAATGAGACCAGATGTCTCCCTAGGGTCAGTGCTTCCCAGGTGCAAGAACAGATTTAGGAAACCAGTAGATGCTTCAGGAAGCTGCTAGGGAGTGAAACCTAGGTAGACTTATGAACCATAGTGTCTTCCTTTTTAATGTAAGAGTGCAGTGAAAACTCTGCTGGCTTGTAGACTACATATGTTGAATCCATCTTTACGTATTTGCAAAAATCCTTTCAACTGGTACAAATTAGAACATGAATTTGTAAGTGTAGAAATTGAATTTTATTAAATTATATAATTGTCAACTTTTACATTTAAATTATTTGTAATGCAAATTGTTTTATATATATTATATATATATAGTGTTGATTTTGTTCAGTGTCTCTAAACTAACATTTTTCTGGAATACAGCTCATTGCATGGTTATTTGCATTCTGCATTTTTAAATATAGTTTATTCTGTGGTATATGCTATTTATTTTATAAAATCCAAATAGCCAGATGCAATATATTGTAACATATTGTGTATCTTTGTAGATTTATAGAGAAATATATTTAGATACATAGAATTACAACTATTTGTGAAATATATAACTTGATTGTGAAATATCTAGTAATTTTCAAATTTAATACTATTTAATTTTGAAGTTTTTAAAAAAGATGTCCTAAATGTCCTTTTTTCCTCAAATTGAAAGCCTATATTATTATTTCATGTTATGAACAGTATAAGGAAGATGAAGATTACTCAGTTCTTACACTATCTATGCAATAGCAAGCACTGACATTTTTCTCAATTCAAAGCTTAACAGTCCTAAAAACTTAAACATGAGACTCTTGTTTTATTTGCATCTTTTCAAGTAACCAGAAACAGCTTATATAAAGCCATATTGTTTTTAAATTAAACAGGTGAAATTTTCTGAGATTATGATACTTAATGAAACAATTTGTTGGATAATAAATACACTCTCAGCACCAGTTTAAATTTTTTCTCACTAAACTTTTGACAGTAACAGATGTTAAGGTCAAGGGTCATCCTCCATCTATGCAGAGGGTCTATCTGAATCCTACCAAAGACGCTGAAGGGAATACATGTTGATAAGACTCCTGAAAGACAATTATACCACTCTAAAATTCCTCCCACAAACACACATTAGTGAGTAATTTGAGCCTCCATATATTTCTTTTTTTTTAATTAATTTTATTGGTATATTTAAGTTATACAATATAATGACATTCATCATTGGAAATTTGCACCTTTACATAATCCATCTTGGTTTTTATTTTTTCCCCATTCCCCTGCCCTCCCT